TCAAATTACATTTATTTAAAAGAATTCAAAGTCAGTCATTGCAAAATTGTCTGACATTAGTTCTGAGAAAAGACCTAATATCATTTGTCTGCAGATAGCACAGATTTTTTGTTATCTAATGCAATGACATTCATACATTTTTAAGTGTTCAAATACTTTTTGGTGCCTTTGTGCACTAAATTAATAGGGATGCACCACAGCATTTGCTCCAATTCTTGACCCCAAATGGCTATCTGAGCATCTCACCTTTCTAAAACATGCTTCTGGTCCAGTTGATCTGGTGTGGCACCCACAACTGTAGCTAAAACCGAGCTCTCGCCACTGGGAGCTCCTTTAACACTGGCAGCAGCAGAAGACAGACCCTCCTACACAAACAAGAGTCATTTAGATTTGTGAGATTCAAAATTGTATCTCTAACTTTATCCACATAAATACACACACTCAAATATAGAGATATATACTAGAGCAAAATGCCTGATTTTTTAATTTCATGGCAAAATTTAAAGCTGCAGTCCGGCGTTTTTACTCTTTGTCGCCATCTCTGTTCGAAATCTGCAATTGCAGTCACCCTGGACACGGCACAGCATGGATGAACACAATGTTTTCATGGAGACTGTGAGGCTGTCAGTCACTGCGCCTGTGTCGATACTGGCATTCAGAATTATAGATTATTATTTTTGGAAGTATGACCAACATAAGAGTTTTCACCGGAAAATGTCATCTGAACTAGTAAGAAACCTCCACTTTTGTTCTGGTTCAGACATTGCAGTAAATCGCGCTGATTAAATCTAACAATCGCTTATGTTATCATATCACGCATTATACTTTGTTCTCAAATTGTTAATGTTAACAACGTAAGCAAGCATTGCGTGACTTAATGTAACGTCCTTCCGATATGTATCCTTGTTTTCGCAAATCCTTGATTAAGCATGTTTCGCATACAGTCTCTTTTTTTCAGTACCCACTCACGCTTTTTGCAACGGGTGAATTTATTGTCACTGATAATTGTCGTTTGAACCTTTCTGGATCCGCCATCAAACTGATACGTTTTATTATATCAAGTGCAGTGAGAAAAACTGTAAATCTCAACCTCCAGCATCCTCACACGCAATATAGCCTACTAGCCGAGCTCCTTCTTTACGTGTACCTCGTAATTACGAAATCTCGTAATTTGTGAAATCTCGAATTTCACGTGGAAATCCACGTGGAGTACCACTGCAGTTAAAAACATTATAACAAGCTTACCGCTTTGAATCGAGCTAAGCCAAGCAGAGTGTTTTAAACACTGGCTGGTTATGTATTTTCTGAAATAAGTATTTTGGATCATTTTTAACCCCAAAAAAGCTACGAACTGCAGCTTTAGCTATTATCGCCCAACTCTTTATTTAAATTTGACTTGACTTGTTTTAGGCAAAATCAAAGCACCTCAGGTACATCGTAGTCAACATTCGCCTGTTCTCGTGTGGCCACAGGTGCAGTGATGGGCTCTTCTTTAGGATGGTCCACACAAGGGCCACCTGTTTAAGGAGAGACACCCAGGCAATTCGACCAGATCAAGACTATATAGAACCTAAAGCTGTACCGAAAGAAAACTAGCGTCAACATTACCAGTGGTGTGTGTTCGACTAGCTCTGGACCTCTCCAGAGAAGAGAGTCTGGTCTCGTATGATGTTCTCAAGGCAGCGATGTCCTCCTGGAGTTTGACTTTGGACTCTTGTTCGGCATCATACTCGGCCTGCAGCCTCGTTAGTTTCTTCTCATATTCCTAAATTTGCATTTACATGTGCATTTATGAGTTTGGCAGACACTTATCCAAAGCAACTTGCTTTCTGTGGGGATTGAAACCATGACCTTGCACCATACATTGTAAAGAATGGATGAGTAAGAGCTTCTATAGACAATGAGAAAACCAATCGACACATTCAAATAGAAAGTTTTCGCAAAAATTCTTCATCTTTCGAGATGAAGGCCTCATCCTAGTGAAACCACAAATTAAGACTCTTCCATTGACTTTATATCAGTACACACCTCTTTTATACGATCTTTTTCAGCTTCGCTCTCTGATGTGTTGCTCTGGGGTCGCGACAGAACAGCTGGAGGATCTTCTAAATTCTGACCTGCCAAAAGTGCTGTTAACAGACAAAAATAAGTCGAAATTACACTATTCAAAGAGATTCAAATTTGCACAAATGTTGTGTTTCTTACAACTGAGGTTGGCAGACCCCAGCTGCCCAGAGATTAAAGCCCGCAACTTCTTGATTTCCTCTTGATACTCGCGCAGGAGGGCATCTTTTGGGTCCTCGTTGATGACCGGACGGTTTTGGATGCTCTTGGCACGGTTGGCGTAGCGTAGAGTACTGATGCTCTCTTCGTAATTGTTGTCGGCAGGCGAGAGACAGGCTACCATGAGGGTACGAGTGTTTCCGCCCAGAGAGTCTTGAAGCAAACGAGTGAGCTTGGAATCACGATACGGGATGTGCTTGGAACGACCGTCCACCAACGCAGATATAACATTGCCAAGGGCTGAAAGAGACAAGTTGATCTTGGTGGCTTCCTGAAGGCGATCTCCACTAGCACCGGTTTTCGACTGCCGTTCACTGCCAGCAAGGTCCACGAGATTGAGCTTTCCAGCACGCAGATGTTCTTCACCTGCAGCATCTAAACTCATATGAAGATTACAGAGATGTTGCATGTAGATTTATTCATGCGGAACTCAGTAAAGATGTGTGATTGAGACACAAACCTGTGTTGCAGGTCTCCAGGTGAATGGTGAATATGGAGTGCGAGCGAGATGAATCTTTGTTCATGAGTGTGAATCCCACAGAGCGATTCTTCCAGCCCTGATCCATGATCCGCTCACATTCCCCAACGCTGTGCACCGTGTGCATGGACAGATCCCGTACATACACACCACGCTCAGGATGCTCCTTTAGCTAAAACACACACAGCATTGACACATTCAGTCCATTTTAGCTAATATGCAATGGGCTTTGTGTGATCAGTGGAGAGACATACTTCCATCTTCTGTTTGGTGTCTTTTGCCAAAAGATCTCTGATTTCCTCCTTGTAAATTTCCAGGTAAGAGGCCCGTACAAGGAATTTTGTGTTCTCTGCACACTTAATTGAAAAGTTCAGGTTATAAACTTTATCACAATGAATATATAGTATTTCGGCTCTAAACATTTCAATGACCACAAACTTTTGAATGTTAGTGTATTTATATTTTACTTTGTCAATCATACTGAATATTATATGTCACAGTAATATTAGGGTTTTATACTATGATGGCATCCTATCATATAAAATCACATGATATGCAAATTGGTTACCTGGATTGTCTCAAAGATGTGCTCAAAAGATCTAGGGATGATTCCCCTCTGGGAAGGAGGATCTAGAACACCTTGCATAGTGAACGACTTGCCACTCCCTGTTTGTCCATAAGCAAAAATGGTCCCATTGTAGCCCTCAGTTACACCCTGTTTATAAAATAACGATATATTTGACATTAATTAGTACATGATGCAAAAACAGAGACAGACAGATGATAGATAGATAGATAGATAGATAGATAGATAGATAGATAGATAGATAGATAGATAGATAGATAGATAGATAGATAGATATTCATATTTAGGGTCTAAATCGCCCAACTTACAAGTGCATCTAGTAAATAATCAATTATAGGAAGGGTTGTAGTTTACTTCTGAGACTAATTTAAACTCTATGGTGTTCTGTTTCAGATAAGGCACAACAGGTTTCAGATAACCATACAGTATATGGGCATGAACACTGGAAAGTAATTGGCCTTAGAAGATAGGCGTCACATTGACCACCAATCACACACAAACACACACAAATCAATATTACCTCCACCAGAGGATATGCGATCTCGTTGTAGATCTGCTCAGTGGAATGGTTCATATAATAAGTCCCATCAAACGTGAATTGTTTGGGAGGCTCTTCCGAGGCTCCAGGTTTCTCAATGAAACACTGACAGTGACTGCTGTCAATTGAAACCACCATCTTACAGTTCAGCGCCTTCTCTCTGTCGTTCAGTGGTCGACATCTGACCACCACCTTCACGGATTCAGATGCCATCTAGACGGATGATTATCTGCTTAGCAGAAATGGACATTTCACTCTAAAGATCAGACTGCATTGTTATGGTCATCTCATGAAGACAATTGCAGCTCTTCTGTTATTAGGAAAGGCGCTTACGAACACGGTCATCCGGTCCAGGTTCCGTCAAGACCCGTTTGAGGTCAGGCTGCGGTTCCGTGACATTAAATAAAGCAGCGCGTGTTTCTCTTGCTGAAGCTTTCGGCGTTGCCTAGCAACTCCAAAGTCCAAACTTCAAAGCGCCCCCAATGACATGCGTAGAGCAGAATATTGTTTTTTATTTTCATAAAGTAAAACAAAATAAAGCCAGCATGTATTAATAAATATGTTCATGTATTTTGTGCATAAAATAAATGTTTTTAAACCATTTGAATAAAAATGAACCACCCGGAAAAAAAAAAAAATCGCGCTAAAATCGCGTACCATACCATTCCGTCGGAACATTGCACCCACCTCATTGAAACTAAACTAAAAATATTAATAAACTAAACCATAAAATACAAAATGTTGTTAGTTAACCAATATATATTAGTTATATTATTATTATATATAACTAATATATATATATATATATATATATATATAGAGAGAGAGAGAGAGAGAGAGAGACTATACACATATTATATAGCCTATATATACATTCACAATATATATATATATATATATATATATATAAACAAACTCTCTCTCTATATATACACACACACACACACAATACATACATAGGTATGTGTATGTATATAATGTTTGTGTGGATACACATTACACACACACACACACACAAAGTATCTACTCTTGCATTTTGTAACATATCTGGTTAGACGGCAGTATTCTAATTAATGAATTTTGAATATTTTTTTGAACATTAAAAGGAGACAAAATTACAGTAAAATCAGTTTATGCAAAAAGGCAAGAAATTTACATAGATGCAAAGCTGATAACAGAAAAGTGTGCATTTAAGAGGTGAAGTGTGCATTATTAAAAAAATAACATTAACTAGGTAGTGGATATTTTCAGGGTTTGAGGTAATCACAAACATGTTATCTACGTAAAACTAGTGATAATACAACCATAACAGTGAAAAGGGCAAGCAATGTACACGCATACAACACAGAATTTAAAGACATAATACAGGGTACATGCATAGGTATGCATCTTTGCAAAAATTGTTTTAACTTTGATATTCACATGATATTGACATGAGTGCTTGTTTCCCTAGAAAACACATTTAAACCAAAAACAACAAAAAAGTGAGTGCTTTAGAAGGGTTGAGGTTATTGCCAACAGGCAAAAACAAAGTGTGCATTCAAAATGTATATAAAAAAATGTGCCAATGACTTAAGATCCTGGTTAGGGAGATTTACTAATGTCAGTAGCTCTAACTGTTAAAACTAAGTAAAATATGTAGTATACATTTAAAAATATATATATATAATATAAAAATTAACTACAGAGCATGAAAGACGGGATTCAAACCCAACTTTTGTTTTTAAATGTGCCTTTTTTGTTGTCCTGTGGCAAACCTGAACTCTTTTTGACCATCTCTTCCCAATCGTAACTGTGGTTAACACGGGCACAGCTCAGAAAACATTCCAGCTCCTCGCTGAACTCTGTGTAATGCTCGATCAAAGCAGCAAGGCTTTCAAATTCAAAGTGGCACTTCTGTAAATGAAGATGAAACATTTGCTACATTTCACTCCTGACACAAGTAGTTAGAGTGTAAGGAAAACAAAAACAAGTTTCATCTTTGCTCACCTCAAGGCGGAACTTCCCCTTGGAATTCTTAATAGAAAGAGTTACCAGTCCCGATGGAAAGCGGATCGTAAGAGCCCCACGGTTGGGCTTTTGGGGATGAGGACAAAGGAGGAAGGAACCCAAGACATCATCTGCCAGGAGTGAGGAACTACAGTTGCTGTAATGGAAAACAAATACTCAAACACTAAACTACTGAACAATACATGTACCGGATTAAAAGCCATGTGAATTTATTTCTTTAGGCCTGGTTTCAGAGACAGGGTTTAGATTAAGCCAGGATTTAGAAAAAAACATTACTGGTGTGAATCTTGAGACAAAAAACAATGGCATTGATATATTTTAAGATAGGTCAGTGCGAGTTGCTTTCATTTAAAACAGCTCAAGCATTCATTTTAGTCCGGGACTACGTTTAAGCATTGTCTGTGAAACCGGGCATTGATGTACTACTTTGCTTATTTTTATATGTTGTGAAAATATAAACTCCTCAAAATCAGCTTTAAATAAATGCAGTGAAGCTCCACGGATTCAATTTTAGCCTAAACGACAATAAAATATGCATGTCTGGAGAAAAATGCAAACATTTATATTCAGAGGTACTGCTTAAAAAAATAAAAAATAAAGCATTAACATTTTTGTGATTGTAACTATTATAGGGATAGTTCACCCAAAAATTAAAATAGTAATTTACTCATCCCCTTGTTGTTCAAACCCTGTGAGAAATCACTCTTCTGCTAAACATAAATGAAGATAATTTGATGAATATGGGTAATCAGACAGTTGATGGACCCCAATACTGTGGAAGTCAAAGGCTACCATCCACTATCTGGTCTCCATCATTCTTCGAAATATCTCATGTTCAGAAGAAGAATGAAACTCATACCGGTTTGGAACAACTTAAGGGTGAGTAAATGATGACAATTTTCATTTTTAGGTGAACTATCCCTTTAAGTTCACCAGACAGCAGAGCCATTGTCCCCCAATACTGACCTAGACACGCCAGCCCAGCACCACACTGCGTGAGCGAGAGCTTCTTCTGTCTCGGCCAAACTGGGAGCTCGAGACATCCATGCGTTTGCACTGGCCTGTTCCTTTTCTGTTTCACAAAAAGAAAAGATTCTTCAGATTCCCAGAGGAATCAAGTTCTCATTGGTTTCACAAATTATGTCAGTGTTTGTTTTCTTTGGCAAACGAAAATATTGCAGCGTTCTTAATTTGGACTGACCACAAGTTCAAATATAGAGTAGCACACATTTTTTACTTAATCTAAATAAACTTTTATTATTATTCTTTTCAAGCTGCAGATCTTTTGCCTCTCTATGGCCATCTCTGTTTAAAACATAATTGCAAGTAACTAGTGGATGTGTTATCTGCGGATTAAAATTGAAAACAAATATTCTCCGATTATGTAAAGCATATGAAACCAACGAGAGGTAAAGTCTTTTCTAAGCAACTACATCCTCAGCACACACCATAGAGCCGAGTCTTCCTTCAGTTTACAGACGTGGCGTAACCGCACAAAGACAAATGAGAACATTGGCATTTCCCACAATAAATAAATAAGATATACACACATATACATCTACACTCACCTAAAGGATTATTAGGAACACCACACTAATACTGTGTTTGACCCCCTTTCGCCTTCAGAACTGCATTAATTCTACATGGCATTGATTCAACAAGGTGCTGAAAGCATTCTTTAGAAATGTTGGCCCATATTGATAGGATAGCAACTTGCAATTGATGGAGATTTGTGGGATGCACATCCCGTTCCACCACATCCCAAAGATGCTGGAAGTAGCCATCAGAGGATGGGTACATGGTGGCCATAAATGGATGGACATGATCAGAAACAAAGCTCAGGTAGGCCGTGGCATTTAAACGATGCCCAATTGGCACTAAGGGGCCTAAAGTGTGCCAAGAAAACATCCCCCACACCATTACACCACCACCAGCAGCCTGCACAGTGGTAACAAGGCATGATGGATCCATGTTCTCATTCCGTTTACGCCAAATTCTGACTCTACCATCTGAATGCTCAACAGAAATCGAGACTCATCAGACCAGGCAACATTTTTCCAGTCTTCAACTGTCCAATTTTGGTGAGCCCTTGCAAATTGTAGCCTCTTTTTCCTATTTGTAGTGGATATGAGTGGTATCCGGTGGGGTCTTCTGCTGTTGTAGCCCATCTGCCTCAAGGTTGTGCGTGTTGTGGCTTCACAAATGCTTTGCTGCATACCTCGGTTGTAACGAGTGGTTATTTCAGTCAAAGTTGCTCTTCTATCAGCTTGAATCAGTCGGCCCATTCTCCTCTGACCTCTAGCATCAACAAGGCATTTTCGCTCACAGGACTGCCACATACTGGATGTTTTTCCCTTTTCACACCATTCTTTGTAAACCCTAGAAATGGTTGTGCGTGAAAATCCCAGTAACTGAGCAGATTGTGAAATACTCAGACCGGCCCGTCTGGCACCAACCCACGCTCAGAATAGCACAAATCACCTTTCTTTCCCATTCTGACATTCAGTTTGGAGTTGAGGAGATTGTCTTGACCAGGACCACCCCCCTAAATGCATTGAAGCAACTGCCATGTGATTGGTTGATTATGAAATAGCATTAATGAGAATTTGAACAGGTGTTCCTAATAATCCTTTAGGTGAGTCAGTGTATATAAATAAAAAAAAACTAAAAAAATGAACTGATTATTTCAGGGTAACTGTTAGAAACAACAATGTGGAAATCCCCACCACCTTTTTTGACTCACCAACCACCAAAACCAAAGATAAATGATCAGTAAAATAACCCATTGTGTTTTAATTAGGGCAGCCACTGTTCCCAGATGTGTGCATTACCTAAAGAACTCTCTCATTCTCGAAAGTGTCCTGTGAACACTTATCCCACCTTGTGGTGCACTCAGTTTATCCTGCAGGTGGCGCTGTTTGAGGGGAGTACAAGTAAAAGAGCGATATGCACCGGAGCGCAGCTCTTTGGTCCGGATCGCCATTTTGCGAACTAAAGTGGGAGAGGAAGTGGGACCCTCTTCAGGACTGCTCGCTTGCTCCATGCTCTTTTGTGAGAACACCTGTTCAGGGAAAATCGACATGAACACTGCAGAACAGTACAGTAATCCAACTATTGGGAAAGTAGGCAGTGTTAAAAGAATATTGAGGGTTATTGACAACTTAAGCTCCATTGACAGCATCATGCAATAATAATAAAAAAAGTTAAACTAGAGAAGTTTGCACACCTAATATTAGATTTTATTATCTAATATATATTTATTAGAACACTTTATTTAAAATCCACATGCAAATACAAATTATTTTTTAATTCAAATCATTTGTAACAGTTGTAACAGATAAAAGCACACCTGATTATATTTGATATAATACAAACAATTTTATATATATATATATATATATATTTAAATTAGAGGCTATTGTAAATAAATAAAATTGTAAATTGTATTGTAAAAAAAAAATTATTCAAAGGATTTAGGTTTTTTTAGGATTTAGAACTTGCACTTTGAACTTTGCACGTGCTTTTTAAAAAGTTGCAAATTTATGATTTGATAAAAAAATTAAATAATAATAATAATAATAATAATAATAATAATAGGGGGACAAGTCTAAGTATTTTTTCGTGGTAAAAAAACTATAACAGTTAGAGAACAGGCTGACTTTAAGAGGCCCGAAAGAAATCGCTGAATCGCAAAAAAATATTCAGCAATTTCTTTTTTGGGCTTCATTCAATAATATTGAACTAGTACCGCTAATCAATTTTTTTTTCTATATACCACTTGCACATATATCAATTCAAAGTTGATCAAGGTTATACGGATTAAGATACGGTGAGAACAAACCTTTGCCCCAGGCAGCAGGCCTTGAGTCGGGGCCCTGCGGAAAGACACCAAGGCGCTGACACTGAGAGGGAATCCTTGATTTAGCAGGGATGGCGTTAGAGTTGGTTTGTTCCCCGAACACTCATCGTGAGCTTCCTCTGGGTGCTTCTCCAGAAAACACAGTTGAAAACAGCGGCAAAGCAGCAGGTTCAGGAACTGGGCCTTTATTTGAGAAAAACACCCTCATAACTACTGTGCAGTTTTACACTTTCAACGTTCTTTAGTGTGCAAGGTTTACGTGTCTAAGCACATCATTTGTTTTGGCACTTCATCATTTTATTGAGAAACCTACAACCACATTCTTGATTCTAGAACAGACATGCAATGTAACAAACAAATAAACATGATGCTTTGTCGTGTGGAGGCTTACAGCTCGGGCATGTCTGGCTCTGAAGAGGTGGCAATAGAGCTGGGCATCAGAATTGCCAGGATTATGGGAGACAAAGCCAAACTGGGCATCAGACGGACGGGCGGTGGACAGCGAGATTCGACACATGGCGTGAGCCATGAGGAGCGTCTGATGAGATACACGCACAAGGAGTTAAACCATCTGACATACGCAAAGAGAAATCCCAAGATGATCTTACCTTTTCATCTTCATCATAAACTTTGACTCCTTTGACAGAGAATTTCAATGAGACTGTTCGCTTGCTCTTGCAGTTCTGCAAATACAACGGCTCATTACTAAACTACATAACCAGTATGACTTTTTTCCACATTGTACAATAATAGCAAAGTAAATATTTTTTTATTATTAGATTTGATCTTAGCAATTCCGCTCGACTGAATCACTAAAAGGAACAGATTGAAAACATGACTATAACCCTTTAAAAATTGATTCATATTTCAGGAATTGCTTTAATCACTTTTATTATTGGTTTCACAAAATCTGTTTTCAACAAAGGTCTGTAGAAAAATATTTACAACATAGTTAGAAATGTCATGGAAAAGCTTTTGTCTTTCAAACATAAAAATATAAAAATTCACATTATTTCATATTTACAGGCAATGCAGGGACTCCCCAACTTTTTCAAAGCTTAACATCTTTGATAATATATTTACTCTACTAATATATTTACTTGCAGTACCCCCTGAGATTAAAGTTAGGTCAATACATTAAGTCTATAATAATAATTATGATACTATTAAGTTCACGGTTCTCTGATGTTGGTTAATGGTCACATGACATGGAGTTAAACAAATAAAATGTATTGTTTTATTTTTATTATTATTGTGGTTTAATTAATAGCTTTTCATTAAACTCACAGAACCTCTGCAGTTCAATCACAAACCCTCAGTCTGGAAAACCCTGGCGTAAATGTAATATTTAATGCACTTCATGTTGTTGATAAAGAACGAAATATATTTTCTTTCCCTTTGTATTTTTATATCTGTATGGTACAAGCTTATCCTGTTCAACAAATCAATGAGATTAACAAGGTTAAAAAAGTAATCTAAAAGTAGTCAGATTATATTACCTTAAAAGTACTGTACAGTACTAACTACAATATTGTCATGCAATTTGGAATCAGTAATAGACTACAATATTATGTAATCTACCCAGCACTGTATGTAATCTAGTAATGTTCTTAATAATGTTCTGAATAATTTTCCACATTGTACATTTAGTCATTAAAATGATTAAATACCCAAATGGATGCATGTGCAAATTAATATATGCGTCTACAAAACTAATAAGCACATATGCCTGGATCAAAATGCTTTTAAGACCATTAAAATCAAAATTCAGTCAAGTGTTCAAACTTATATAGATAATAACACGTATAAAAAAAGTAAACACACTCTTGAGATTCACTTCACACAAATTACCTTGAGAGACTTCAGCTGAGAGTGCAGCTGCTGAATCTGATCATCCAAACAACTGTCATCCACAGGAAATGAGCCAATGTACTAGACAAACAGAGCATTGATTTACTCAATAAAAGCAAAACTATGAGTTCATGATGCAATCATCCGAGTATGGGAGTAAACTATACAATAAAACCACAGATGCAATTGCAAAACCAGATGTAGCCTAAAGCATTCAAATGTTTCAATAATTTTCACCTCAGCAGATCTTGTAACAATCCCATGTTCCCTGCCAGCTGTCTCACCCATATCCGAGCCTGCTGTCGTTGGCTTTATCTACTGTTCAAAATAATAATTAATAAAAATGACAAAACAGAGGTCAGCGTTTGCCAGAATATTTCAGAACTGCATTACAAACTCCTTCAACGTTTTAACTTGACGAATTAAAGCACAGCACAAGTAGTGAAAGTAAATCCTCGACATTCCTCAAAGATGAACAGATTTGTGCAAAAGGTGACCGGTTCAGACTCTAAAAGTGCCAATAACGGCCAAAATAAAAGTATGTTTGGAGACACAGCCACCAGAAAGCGAAAGAAATTGCTACATCGGGAACCTCAAGTAGAAATCAAAACAAACGCTTTAGTTAACGCTTGAATAATTACATAAGGATTCAAGTTGTAAAGAAGCAAAAAAAAAGACAGAGGAAACAAATACTCACAAATTAGCCCAGACGACTGAACCTGGCAGGGTGGGTCGACTATCCTCCAGGGGTTTTGCAATCCATTCCTGACTCACCTTAATTCTCTAAATCCCGCCTATTCAGAGCCAGACTGGATCCATTGGGAAAGATTTGACAAGATCCGCCTACACCACATATGGATGCACACAGGTAATTGGTGACTGATTCATCAAAATGATTCACTTAAAAGACGGGTTTACCGAATCTTGACTCTTTTAAAGGGATAGTTCAACCAGACATTTTGTCATCATTTACTCACCCTCATGTTGTTCAAAACCTTTATGAGTTTCAAAACTCAAAATAAGATATTTTGAAGAATGTTAATCAAATAGTTGACGCTGACAGTAGCTTCAAAAATATCTTCTTTTGTGTTCAGCGAAACAAAATATATTCGAGGTTTGGAACAACATGAGGGTGAGTAAATAAGGAAAAAATATCTATTTTGGGTGAATATCCCTTTAAGTGGCACAAAAGGAAACGCTGAATCTTTTCCAATGATTCAATATTTTGGAAGAGTTGATTCATTCGATGCGTTTGAAATATTCAGGGAATTCTGCAGCGACGATTCCTTTGTGGGAATCACTCAAGGTACAGAAAGATGAATATAGTGCAGAATTGGATTGGTCGTCTGAACAGAACGATTTTTTATTTATTTTTTTTGCTTAGCCAATTAAACATGACCATAACCTTCTGAAAATTGTTGTTGGCCTATCTGTGAAAAAAATAAATAAATAAAACTTTTAATTTTCTAACAAACATGTTAAATGTTAGGCCTATGATATGTATTAATGTTAATTAATGTTTTACAAGTCATCAGAAAGAGTTATGGAGAATTATATATATATATATATAAAATAGGGAGCACCGGAGTCTGTAAAACCTTTGATGTTTGTGAATGTTACAATACTTTAAGACAAGTCAGGGCATGAAATGTTTTATGTAAACATGTCAATGCTTTTTATACATTTTCTTCCAAAATACTGTGCACGTCAGAACAAGGAGAAGAATTTGCCACTGTGAATTTCACATTAGACTCAGCTGTGATAATGACACAAAGCATATTTCAGAGCTTGAACCATTTCACCCCTTCTAAACACCTCTAAATTAGTGGTTCAGCATTGAGTATCAAATCAAACCACCCAAACAAAACAATGGTCAAATAATCAAGTACAAATATAGTCACTTTATTAAGGACTACAGAAAAAGTATATCAGTTACATGCATGCAGGGTAAGGTAAGCAATGCTCATAAAATTACATCTAACCCCCCTGATAAACTAACACAGAAGAGTATGACTGGGTTAATAGTGTGTATTATGTTTTAAACATCTGCTTGGAAAATCTTTTCAACGTATATTCTCCTTCATAGACTGTACAGAACAAAACAAGTCATGGATATGGATGCCAACGTTTCTTTAATGCATCTTAATAAATCCAATTTTGCATTCAGGTAGACTGTTAAACTGAAAGTTAGGCATCAATAATCATTCTTTTCTTTGACTTACACGAAGGAACCAACATCAACAAAACTCTTTTTATGATTACAATAGTAGCTAAAGACCTAACTTCACAAAACATGAGCAAAAACAATTGAAATAAAACTTACAAAGAGTTTTGAACACTGATGAGAAAGGGGAGACTGAATAACTGAAATGCTTGCCTCTACAGAAAGATTGACTACAAGAACTTTAAATATTTGATTTTTTTTTTTTTGCTGAAGCACAACTGAGATGAAGCAACAGCTGCTTCTTCAGACTCTCATAATGGTGACCTGAACGAACGTCTTAAACAACATAACAGTAGCATTTCTACTCTACATCTTTACCTGTGATTTAAGAATACTGAACATAATACGCCTGTATTTGAACGGCAAGAATAACTTTGAAGAGGTCCTATGTTCATCAGAGGCCCCAAGACAAGGAAAACTCTGAAGTTTCTACAAAAATAAGAGGAGAAAATAGCAATCACTGCAGTCTACAGAGCTACAGTTGATCCTTTCAGCTGTCTGCAAGCGTGGGATTTATTTCCGGGATCGGAGTGACTTGCGTGCGGCAGGTTTGGCCTTCACAGCAGATTCAGTTGGCTCCTTCTTAGCTGCCTTGGGCGACGGCCTTTTGGACCCCCTGTTTGTCATCTTTTTGGCTATGGGTGATTTAGGTTTGCTGGTCGGAGCGGCTTTCTTGACTGGTGTGGCTTTCTTGACTGGTGTGGCTTTAACAGGCGCTGGCGCCTTTTTAGACGCTGCTTTGCTCGCAGCGATGGGTTTCTTGGCTGGTGGAGGGGCTTTCTTGGCAGACGCAACCGATCTCTTTGAAGCAGGAGGTTTTCGGCTGACTGTTTTAGCCCTTTTATTTTGACGAGCTTTAGGCGCAGGAGTCCGTTTCGCACGCTGGGTCCTGTGGAAAAATAAAAAGTACGTTTAGCCTTGCAAAGACACAGCCCAAGTTAAATGTCTCTATGATATTCTGCTATATGGTTTGGGATTTTTTTTGCCCATTTTATCATCCAACAAGTGGAAGCCTATGGAAGCTTGTTTCCACCACAGAATGAAAAAAAAAAAAAAAGGTAATTGCGACTTTTTAATCGCACAATTCAGACTTTTTTCTGACAATTGCGAGTTTACATCTTGCAATTCTGACTTTATTTCTCAGAATTGATTGATATAAAGTCAGAATTGCGTGTTGTAAAGTCAGACTTGTGAGATATAAACTATCCTGAGGGGAAAAAAGTTAGAAAAAAAGTTTTTTTTTTCCTTAGAATTGGCCTGATAACTCGCAATTGCGAGTTTACATCTCACAATTCTGAGAACAGATGTCAAAATGTCGAGATGTAAACTCGCAAGTGTGAGAAAAAGTCAGAATTGTGATATAAAGTCTCAATTCTGTCTTTATTTCTCAGAATTGCAACTATATCTCACAATTGCGACTATTTCTCACAATTCTGACTTCATATCTCTAAATTGTGAGAAAAAAGTCGCAATTACGATAATTTTTTTTTATTCAGTGGTGGAAACAAGCTTCCATAGAAACCAGATAACACACCATGGTTTATTGCTCCGGGATAATGATTTGTTAAAATCCCTAAAACCAAGTATAAAATAGCAAGTTCTTTGGCACTAATAATTGCTATTTAGACGTTATGTGATGTACTTCACCTCTTTCTTCGGGGAGGCTCATCATCGTCTGATTCTTCCTCTTCCTCCCTCTGACTCCTCTTCGGATTCTTCGTCAGAATCGTCACTTCTCTTGCGTTTGAGCTTCTGTTCCTCCTTCTGTTTGAGTTTTTCCATCATTTCTGGAAACAGAACCGCTGGGCTGCAAAGGAGGAGCGACAGACAATTTGTCAATTCAAGTAGTTCCATCACATTTAATCTTCATTTTGTACAATGCCTTAAGTCTCACCTTTCTCATATTTTTATGACAACAGACATGATTGCAACTAATCAATTCACCAAGTTTCATCTAAAACAATTGTAAAAGCTAAGAACTAATAGTTGTAGTTAAAGGATTAGTTTTTCACCCCAAAAATGGTCCCATAATTTACTCACCCTCAAGCAATCCTAGGTGTATATGACTTTTTTTTCAATCGGAGTTATATTTAAAATAAAAATAAAAAATGTATATATATTGGGAGTAAATGGTACCCTAGATTTTGAAGTCCTTAAAAGTGCATCCATTCATCATAAAAGTAATCCATATGGCTCCAGGGGTTAATAAAGGCCTTCTGAAGCCAAAGGATGTGTTTTTGTAAGAAAAATATCCGTATTTATTACTTTATAAACAATAATTCGCAAGACGAGTTCTGGCGGAAGAGTGATCTTTATTAACCCCCTGGATGAAAGAGCCAGGATATTTTTTAATATAACTACATGGTGTTTGACTGAAAGAAGAAAGTAATATACCCAAAAGATGGATGGTTTGAGGGTGAGTAAATTATAGGATAATTTTCATTTTTGGGTGAACTAACTAACCCTTTAAAATGCCCCTGCATGAACGATTTCAAGTGTAAAAAGCCCAAAAGCAAATTTAAGAACAATAAAATGTGCACTATGCTTACAGTAGTGTTAAATTATAATTTAAATATTATTATAGTATTTATTGATATTTTTAATTGGCTTCTATTTTTATATTTTTAGCATTTTTGTTTATTTTTATTCAGCTTCAATTCATTTTTACATTAGTTTTGGTATTTTGTAGTACTTTTCTTTCAGTAAGTTGCCAAGAAGACATTTAACATTTACGTGCAAGTTTGAAATTGTTCATGAAATATTTATATTTGTTTTTTTCAAAAACCATTTATTTATTTTTTACTTCTCGATTGTTAACAATAAGAAAACTGGTTTATGGTGAGCCCAACTTACCTTGGGTAAAATGGATAGCTTAGCTGGTACGACCCACTGAGTCCATGACCAGAAATCTGCTCCATCCATCCCATCATTTTACACTTCAGCAAAGTTCTCTTCAGGTTTAGAACTGGCAATCAGAAAAATCGGAGATATATGAAGGATGGCTATTATATAAACTGATCAAGAAAACTATTTCTGTACTAGCGTTCTTATGAACAACTCCTTTGATGATGACAGTTAGAAGCATGCCAAAACAAAAGCAAACTAAATTCAGTCCTCAGAGAGCAAAATAAATTCACTGAGGAGTGAGTGTACCGTACCAACTAAAGAGACACTCTTCTGGTCCTGTTTCTCCATGAGGAATTTGCGCAGTATGGTGATGCTGCAGGTCTTGGGCTCATTCATGGCTGTGATGGCGGCCACTACAGCATCTTCCAGCAGTCCGCCACCCATGAGCACCTTATTCCCAGCTTTCTTCAACTGTCAAACACAAATGCAGATTCCCATCAAACCTGCTTGTTGTAGATGTCGAGCGATTCAGAAGGGTAACTACTAACCTGGAATGTCCCAGAGGCCCCCTTGCCAGTGATCTGCTCCAAGAAGCCCTTTTCCACAGATCTCTGCAGGCAGTTCTTCAACACGTCAGGCCTAAGAGATTTACAGAAGAACCCTTCGTTAATAAATCTTCAGGCCAAATGTATGTACACAATTTCAATCTGTAACTCTTAATGTTTTATGTTTACTATGTACATTTCTGCATGT